TTTCCCTCTTTGAAAACATATTATTGTGCCTCCATTCTTGACCAGACCAAAAAAACTTGGTTCCTGAAGGATAATGATAAAGTGTGGTACACGCTCGAGAAATGTATGATGATCTAGGGAGACCTTGTGAACTGGTTCTTGGCTACTCATCTAGACCGCTCCCTACAAACTTCTATTTCCCACTTTAACTGGCAGTCAGTTTTAGATGACCCAACCTTGTATGCAACCCCTACTACTCTAGAAATCCCATTGCAAGTATACGAAATTGCAATACCATATTTTGATTTATACAAATTGGAGAGCTAGAGGATACTCCTCTCCTGTACAGGACTACGTTACATTCATGGATAGTTTCCAACATTCCCAAAATTACACACTTCCGCTCCAAGAATTATATAGCAGATCTTCGTGTACCCATCAAACTATGGTATGGTATGCCTGGCTGGAGTTTCTGAATAATAAAATATAAACAATTCCGGGTTCCATTTCCAGACAATAAGCACAATCTGGGATGGATTCCACCGATCGCTTATGTTGCCTCATGTGTATAACAATTTTCATTGTGCTGTATTATTTTTATTCCGTACTCCTGAGAGATTACACCCTACCTTCTGCCCCTCTCACCTTTGTACTTATACTTCCACCCACTCCCGGCCTACTATTCCTACATTTATTTTATGCCAATGTCTTATGGACCCCTACTGGAGTAGCAGCCGCCAATTGCATCTAACCCAGGGTTTCAAGTTACACACTAAGGAAGCATTTACCGGAGGTTAGATGTCTATGGTTTATTTTTATTCACATTTTTGTGTGTGTATATATAGCACTTATCATGCTCATCCGTTTTCTTTATGTCCACACCCGATACTGTGTATCCTATATGATGACAAAGGCTTGTTTTCCCTTGTTTTCTTTTGTTTGCCTTGTATTTTTTTGAAAGTTGAATACAGATAGATATAGATATATTATATATTAGGGCTGCAGCTAACGATTATTTACATAATCGGTTAGCCCATTATTAAGTTCGATTAATCGACTAATCGGATAAAAAAATTTAAAAAAAAAGGGTTCAGTGATGGACTACTAGTTGCTATTGAGATTGTAGTCCCATCACGGGAGTAGTACATTATACAGCGGCGCAGTGCAGAATACCAGCAGCTATAGAAGAATGTAGCAATAGTACATTATACTATAATGTACTATTGCTGGGATTTGTAGTCCTCTGTAGCTGGGGTTATTCTGCATTGCACTGTATATAATGTATTATTGCTGGGATTTGTAGTCCTCTATAGCTGGTGGCATTCTGCAGTGCGCTGTATGATTATACGGGGAAATGCAGAATACCAGCAGCTATATAGAAATACATCCCTTGTAAGTCGCGGCGTGCTCTGCGGGCGTGTGTCCGGCGTCCGTGTGCGTGGTGGGCATGGCGTCCGCAGCGGGCATAGCGTAACTCGTGTATGTGGAGCTGCGAACAATTTTAGACGACGTATCGACGATGGTAATCTAATAATTGTTGCAACTCTACAGAATAGAATACCAATGTATAATACAGCGGCACATGAACTCCCTTTGATCTCCAGTCACAGAGCCGTGCCGGTCCCAACAGCATCGGATCTCGGGACCGGCAACGGCAGTGAAAGCTGCTGATACAAGCGATGGAGCATCTCTCGAGACGCTCGATCACTTGACTGTAAAGCTCCCGGCCGGCCAGCTGCTCATCGGGCTCCACCGTCTGCTCGTCGCAGACAAGTGGATTTTTCAAGCCCTGTATGAGATTTAGAGATTGGAGATTGATATATATCTATATCTGTCCCAGTGTTTTATAAATAAAATGAGTGAATATTTTCAGCAGGAAGTTCCTGAAGGGAACAAAACGCGTCAAGGGCGATGGTCTTGACCCGATATCCAATGCTCCGGTGTTTAAAGGCTGGTGTATGTTGGTGCGGGACTTCTCATGATTTACATGAGAAATACCTGAGAGACTTCTATGGATATTTTGAGTACATGCATGCCTGAAAAAGGTTTGAATACCTGCTGTGTTTGAGCCTAGCATTGGAAAATAGCCTGGTTCACAGGTGAAGATTTTGTCTTGAAGCTGGCTTTGCAGATTGAAGAATGTGCTACAAGTTTACTCACATGTGTGGATGCTGATTTAATGCAAGCCATATAAGACTTTCCATATCGCGATTACTAACTTGTTGTATGGCTTACACATATGAACATTGTCTGTTATATACACCGTATTTCACGTTTGCCCATATATTGGACGGACTGTGTTTTGGCTGCATATGTGTACCTAAAAAGGAGTAATGTGCCGCACGCTAAGAAAAAATAAAATACACCTGTAAATGGGCTGCACGCCCATTTGTGTGGTTATGTATGTCGTATTATTTTTGATGTTAGGGTCTATGTTTGACCCACTACTGTCCATAAAATGTTCCTTTGTGAAAGAAAATTTGAAAACTGCAAAATAAAAGATTATACAAAAAAAACAACACCTGTAAGAGTAACGCCATCTTACCGCACCCAAAGAAATATTTGATGAATTTATCATCTTTTAAGCAAAGAAGACCAGGCTGATTATTTTCAGGAATATCCTATAGTTGCATGTTGTATTGCTTTGAAAGTACAGATGCACCTGAAATTTCCATCATGGAGTTTGTTTGCAAGATGATCAGTGTTAAGGTGCCCATACAACACCTTACAATTATCTGGAGATTTTGTCTGAGATTGCGTTTTCATAAGAAAATCTGACAGTTGATGGGAAGTGCACAACCTCAATTACTGTACAACTGGCAGATTTTTTTCTTTCAAGCAGGCTAGAAAACTTTTTCTAATTGGACGAAAATTGAAAAAGGTTAGTGGCATTGTCCTACAACAAAAATCTCAAGATGAAAACTGCACATGCTGTAAAGAAAAGCTGTTCTTTCTAGAGCTGCAGCTATTATTTTCAAAATCGGTTAGCCGATTATTAAGTTCGATTAAATCGGATAAAAAAAAATAAATAAATAAATTTGAAGAAATGGCTCCAGTGATGGGACTACTAGTTTGTATTGAGATTGTAGCGCATTACAGGAGCAAGCTTGGAGGGGTGGAAGTAAAAAAGAAAAAAAAAAAAAGTGTGGTGAGCAATATAGTGAAATGGAAAGTGTAAAATTATACAGCAATGAATGCAGAATGGCACTGGCTAAAGAGGACTGCAATAGCACACTATACAGCACAATGTAGAATACCACCAGCTATAGCGAAATACAACAAATCCCAGCAATAGTACATTATAGCTGGCAGTATTCTGCATTGCACTGTATAATGTTCTATAGCTAGTGGTATTTAGCATTGCACCACTGTATAATGTATTGTTACTGGGATTTGTAGTCCTCTATACAGCGCAATGCAGAATACCACCAGCTATATAGGAATACAACAAATCCCAGCAATACATTATACAGTGTATAAAAAGTTTTCTGCCCTGGGATCTCCATTTTGATGGAATTTGATGCTTTTTCGGATATGTTTTCTTAAATTTACTGGAAAAAGTGGAAATACACTTTAACCCCTTAGTAACACAGCTTCAGAGCAATTTTTGCCATTTAACCATTTACATGACACACACACACACCACACCTTTAATCTGATGCGATATATGCATATATAAAATTAAAAAAAAAAAACACACATTTCAGTTTTGGCAATATGTACATAATTAGTGTACCTAACAGAAAGTAACTCATAATACATGCTTTTATTTGTCCTGATTTATAGGGTATAATTTCTGTTTATTTTGGGAGTTATGGGTCACAAAACAAAATGAAACACAACTTTAGTGTGGAACGAATTTTAGAATGTGGTATGTTTGTCTCCTAATAGCCATCTCAGCACTATATTTTGAACACTTTAAACTGTTTGTTTTTTAAACTAGGGGGCACTAAGGGGTTATCTCTTTTTTTTATTTACATGGGCTTTTGATACTAAGCATTCGGAGGAGATTCAAAGTATCTGGAGGAGAATATAGTATCACTTGGCTCAGTGGCTGTCACAGCTCTGTGATCACAGTGCTGGGAACCCCAATTTGATGTTGAGGGTCTGCCTCAGACCCTGGGAGGGACCCAGCAACAGCATTAACCCAATAGGCGCTGGTCCCTCTATGGACCAGACGACGGGATTAGTCTGTCAGCAGTCTTTTAGGAACTGAAAAAACGCTCACGGCCTTAACCCCATTGGTCACAAAGGGGTTAAGGCCCTTACAGATCCTAATCTCCAATACCAGAGTAAGCTTGCATATTAAACAAGCACCAGATTTGTCAAGCAGCCACATATGAAAGAACACAGCAAATTTAGGGCTTTCTAGTGCAGACTGCCCACCAAGTTTATGCACAATCACACATAGCAACTACTGTCACCCAGCTACAATCTGTTCACCCAATTTATGATACACTTACAATAGAATAGAGTGTGGCAGCGATTTTTTGGGAAGTTATTTAGAATTAAAAAACACAGTATTTTACAAAATTGAGAATAGGAAAAAAAAAAATAAAAAAAATTCCTAAATATTCTTTTGCAAGCAAAAGTAGTCGCACAGTTTGCAATGCAGTTATTTGGCAATTTTAGCTAGGGATCCATATAAAAATGAATTTGCATCAAAAACATGGCTTCAATTGGTCCTAGGAATAACTATTGTTGCTTCTACTCAAGAATTACAATTTAGATCACTGGCAATTGATCAATGCATCATTTAGAACTAGTTTATTCAGTAGATCTATGCACCGAAGGATACAAATAAATCCTTTGAAGCCAGTCAGAACAATCCAGGATCTAGAAAATTATGCTTTTACTGACAATATAAAAACATCCCTACAGCAGCTCCAGCGGCTTATCTTCAGGCATATTTGCTACTCTCCCAGAACATGAATAATAAAAAGAATAATAATAAATTCCCAATAGTTGAATTATATATTCAACATCAATTTCATTTTTTATATTATAGGTTCAACATTTACCTGTGAATGAAAGTTTGCAATTGTTGTCGTCTCAATGTCTTTCTTGCCAAGAATCTCCATTTTAACTGGTGTATTTGGAAAGTTAAAAGCAAAGTAATCCAGAAAATCTGGCAAATAAGCCGCTGCACCGTGAACTATGGCCAAGGCATAGTCAGAAGCATTTTTTTCATTCTCAATAAATGTCTTTTCCAGGAACTCCTCAGCAAATCTCTCCATCTCCATAGGAGACAAAAAGGAGAGTTCATCCATGTAAGCATGTAAAACTGGGGCTCCGCCATTCGACTGAATCTCTTCATGCATTAGTCTGCTGAATCGAGATTCTGTTTTGAAGATACTGGTACGGATGCAGTGCTCCTGATGAGATGCAAAAGGCATCTGGACCTCCTGAGGAACCCTATATTCTTCAGTTCCAAGGTCTGACCGGCAAAGCTGCTCATCCTTTAGGTATCTGCAGGACTCCTGGTTCATTTCTACTCCTACACTGGCTTGGTCTAGGGAGGCCTGATTAATGCGGGTAAGTCCAGCACACAGGGTCTGGACCTCTTTGTTGTACATTTTTAGCCGTCTGCCTCTTAAATCATCTCTGTGCTTCTTTTTCTTCTTTTTCTTGAGCTTCTTAAGAAGGAAAGCCTTATCATTTAGTACTCTCTGGGATTTGCCATTCTCATCTGGAATTTCTGTGGAAGAGGTAACATTTATTAAAACACTTTGCAGGAAAAATAAATTTAAAATTTAAAATGTCTGTGTTCATATACAAAAAGAAGCCAAAAAAAAAAAGAGACTATAATGCAAAAATGTACATCATACAGATTGCCCAATAAGTCTTCAGCTAACTGTTGTACAATGCATATTAAATATAACATGTAACCAGTCACAAAGGGGGGCTTGAATGGCAAAATGTTAAAGGCCCGGTTCACACCTGGGCGTTTTGTAGCGCTTTTGAACGCTCTGCAAAACGCTCAAACACCGAAATCCCATTATTTCCTATGGGTATGGTTCACACCTGGGCGTATTACAGGCCGTATGAACGCGCTACAAAAACGTCCTACGCCCAAAGAAGTACAGGAGCTTCTTTGTGGCGTTTTTGTCGCACGTTTCCATTGGGATACAGCCAGGTAGCCCTCAGAAACGCACGTTTGTCGCGTGTTTAACTGCGACACACGCGCATATTTGATACGCCTAGGTGTGAACCCAGCCTAAATGTAAAACATTCATTTGTTGAAGAGGGCCAGGAGAACTAGGCACTAGACATTTAAATTGAATCTGTGCCAAGACTACACACAATATTTATAAATTCCTGAACAAGCAATAAAGTAATTTAAAAAACAAGCTCACACTAACCTCTGCAGCTAGAGGTTAAGTTCTCTTCAAAGTTTACAACAGAGGCACTAAAATCTTAGCTCTCTTATTACTTTCTACTGCTGCAAAGTCTCGGCAGCCCACCAGAGCGCCAATGTACACAGCAGGTGTTTTCAGCTCTTAGAAAAACTGAAGCCAACTTTTAGAATCTTTGTTGTGATCTTAGAGAATGAATTACTTCACAGTACACACAGCTAGAGAATTCAAGCATCCTAACTCCTCCAGATCTAAAAACCTTTGTTAAAAAGGTGCCCATACACCTTACGATTATCGGACGATTTTCGTATACGATCGACTTTTCGGACGATAATCGTATGTGTGCATTGCAGTATCCGACCGACATTACTGTACAATGTTTGAAAACTTTGCTAGATCGTGCGATTTTCATAAGGTTGCTGGCGTTTCCGACGTCAAAAGTCGTACGATCTACACTGCGCTTGCGCTAACGAAAATACGGCAAATCAATTACCGCATTTCGTCCAGGTGCTTTTCGTTAATTACGGCTAAATTAATCTTGCGATCGGGGCAGGATGGGGCTGCCGTATGAAAATCGTACGACTATTCGGACAAAAAGTTTCGTCCGATTATCGTAAGGTGTATGGGCACCTTTTGTCTCATTACAGGTGTTTTACCTAAATACAAAACAACCTTAGGCCTGGTTCACACCTGGGGTGTTCCTACGCGCTGTAAAACGCTCAACATGTGAAAACCAATGATTGCCTATGGTTCCCACCTGGGCATTTTACAGCGCATAGGAACTCGCTGGAAAATGCACTACGCCCAAAGAAGTACAGGAGCTTCTTTGGGGCGTATTTGCAGCACGTATCCATTAGGATACAGCCGGATAGCCTTCGGAAAGGCGCGTTTGTCGCGTGTTTCTTTTACCGCAAATCGCTGTAAAATCACGCAGCAAACGCGCATATTCCGTATGCCCACGTGTGAACCCAGCGTTATAGTAGTCAGGCATGCCCAAATACGTTTGAAAAATTTGTGGGTTTTGAACCAACTTTAATAGGGCTTATACTAAGAAGTGCTGAATACGTGAAAGTTTTTCAATTACTTTATAATACATTGTGATTTACTTTTTTGTGTGCGGGGGAGTGTGTGAAAGGAAGTCCACACTACTACTAATAAAACTATTCATAAATTAAAAAACACACGCACACAAAAAAAAAAAAAAAAGATAGTGTTTTGAAACTTTTACATTTAAAAAGGTGCCCATACACCTTACGATTATCGGACGATTTTCGTATGCGATCGACTTTTCGGCCGATAATCGTATGTGTGCATTGCAGTGTCCGACCGACATTACTGTACAATTGTACGACTTTTGACGGTCAGGCATGTTTGAAAACTTTACTCGATCGTACAATTGTCGTAAGGTTGCTGGTGTTTCCGTCCGTCAAAAGTCGTACGATCTACACTGCGCATGCGCGAACGAAAATACGACAAATCAATTACCGCATTTCGTCCAGGTGCTTTTCGTTAATTACGGCTAAATTAATCTTGCGATCATCGGGGCAGGATGGGGCTGTCGTACGAAAATCGTACGACTATTCGATCGGACGAAAAGTTTCGTCCGATAATCGTAAGGTGTATGGGCACCTTAAGAATATCTGTAAATACTTTAACATGCACCTGTGCCCAGAGTGCCCACTAAAGAAAAACTTTTTTGGGTTACAAATGAACTAGCAAAATGTATACACGTTCATGAAGAGGTCATTTAAGTCAAGTGTAGTAAGTTAGTGTAAATCAATGGTTTAGCTAAACACAATTTGGCCAAGCACTTATCATTTGACCTTTTGCTGATATGCACAGCACAGGGTGAAGCAGAAGGATCTCAGAGAGAGTGCATAATATCATCAACTGAGTGGGGAATGGAAGGAATGGAAAAGGGGAAGTAGCTGACTGCGGGTATCCACTTTGTGGCCGAGTTGCTGTTCCCAGTTGCTTCCACTTTGTTATAATACCATTAACATATGACTGTGGAATATTTAGTAGCAAGGAAATTCCACGGATGGACTTATTGCACAGGTGGCAACCTATCACGGTACCACGCTTGAATTCACTGAGGTCTTGAGAGTAACCCATTCTTCACAAATGTTTTTAGAAGCAGTCTGCATGCCTAGGTGCTTGATTTGATACACCTGTGACCTAGGAGATGATTGGAACACCTGAAGCCAATGATTTGGAGGGGTGTCCCAATACTTTTGGCAATAGTGTGTGTAAAGGTGGCCATACACTGTACAACCATCGCAAGACCTTAGTCTTGCGATGGTTGTAAAGTGATTAAAAAAAAACTTACGATCTGCCCATCTTGGACAGGCAGATCGTACTCTCGATCATCGCAAGCCCGCCCCCGAGGGGCGGGCTTCCGATGACCGCAATGCTGAACGGGCAGTGTGCGCGTGCGCACACCGTCCCGTTCGGCTTTTGTCTCCCGAGCACCGTTCAAAACAGCCGAAAATTGTACGATTCTCGGCTGGTTTTCTAACATGCTCCTTAGACAAAAGATGTGCGACCGTACAGTAAAAACGGTCGCACGTCTTCGTTCACACTGTTCGATTCTCGTACGAGAATCGAGCAGTGTATGGGCACCTTAAAGCGTGATCACCTGCAATGGAAAGTGTGGTACTGCAAGGCCATGCATTCCAGTGCAGTGAGTGCAAAAACTGTGCATGCAGTTTTATTCTGAAGTAACCGTTATGTTTGTAACACTAGATGTGTATTTTACTTTAAATTAGGGATGGCTTTTTTTTTTTTTATCGGGTTAGTTGGCAGATTATGAAAATAATCAGTAGTTGCAGCCCTAGAAAATCACAAAAACTTTGTTACGGAACTCATCCATAAAAGTAGTATTAAACTCAAATTTTTCAATAATTAATACAGATTAAATACATTTCTGCCCAAACACTTACAGTCACCATATTTCCAAACACCTCCAACTTCCTGTCCAGTACAAGATCACAAGGGATAGAGCAATCTCCAGCATCTGTCTAAAGGTGCCCATACACCTTACGACCATCGCAAGACTTTGTCTTGCGATGGTCGTATGCTTATTGAAAGCTCGTACGATCTGCCCACCTTGGACGGGCAGATCGTACTTGCGATCATCGAAAGCCCGCCCTGCTGAGGGGCGGGCTTCCGATGACCGCAATGCAGAATGGGCAGTGTGCGCATGCGCACACCGGCCCGTTCCGCAGCTATCGGACGAGCAGGCTAGAAACCCTCCGACAATCGTACGCATGTTGGTTCGACAAAAGACATGCGACCGTACAGTAGAAACGGTCACACGTCTTCGTTCACACTGCTCGATTCTCGTATGATCGCGGGATTCCGCCCAATTCTCGTACGAGAATCGAGCAGTGTATGGGCACCTTATTTCTAGCTTGGAGGAAAGCGGAGTGGGGAGCAAGGAGCAGGGGAACGGCTCGCCTTGCTGGGTGTGCGTTGTGCAGACACACAGCTAACAAGCACACACAAGGATGGCTCCAGAGGACTCTGCAAGGGAAAGGAGCCACCCTAAAAACAGGATATTAGTGCTCAGGGGACCAGCTGACTCTACAGGAAATTAAAATCTTGAAGCATCCAGAAACAGAATCTAAAAAAAACTGGACTTTAAGATCACTTTAAACATCCCAACAGATCTTCTGAGGCCAAAAAGGTCTATACTGAACACCTCTAGAAAACAAATGCATTCTCACTTTTTTTGTGTAGTAAAAGAAAAAAAAATAAATTTTTAAATTTAGGTCAGGTGGTACAGAGAGTAATGTAATCTTCAAGTACCCCTCATGTGAAAATTCCTGTTCATGCATTTGATCTGATCAGACCATTGACCTTAATATTCACACATTTTATTGTACAAAAAAAAAAAAAAAAAATCAAACTTTAGTAAACGAACCTCAGCTATATTCTATTCCCGCCTAAGCATTCCTAACCCTCCCAGCAGCCCATCTCATTAATTCTTAACCATTCCTAATGATGGCCTGTCCAGGAAATGAATAATGGTGCAAATCTATAAAATACTTGTGAATTTACCAAAATGACCTATTCAGAAACAGCTCTAGGTAGCAAACTTCCTATATCAACCTGGCAAACCAGATTTCGGTTGGAATAAAAGCTTGTAAAGCCGACAGTCGGCTCTACAAGTTTAAACAGAGTCCCGGCGGCAAAAGTCGCCGGGAGTCTGTTTAAACAGCCCCGATGCTGGCGACGTACACTGTACGTCGTCAGTCACGAAGGGGTTAAGCACCTTATGTCCCAATTCAAACAAGTATTTTGTAACTGTGCAATCGCGCTACAAAACACCCGACACAAG